TTATAGTTTTTTGCTTTGTTTTGTTTTTTGGGTTTTTTTGGAGGATGTGGGGTGGGAAGGGGAGGCACAGGCAGGTGTAAGAAATGATAGAAATGGAGAAGGACTGAGGGAAAACAGAGGGAAGAGCCAACTTGGGAGGCCAGGGGAGGGCCCTGGAGTCAGGCTGGTTTGCAGGATCGAGAGGGACAAGTCATGGGAGAGACAAGGAAGAAATATGGCCAGAGGGAATCAGATCCACCTGACAAGAGGACAAGAAAAGGAAGAGGCCAAGAAGTTAGGGTGAAAAGTGAAGTAAGAAAAGGCATTTCATCAGTCAACATGAAAGAGTCTGGCTCTTTGGGTGTCTCCCAAACACAGAGGCAGATGGAGGAGGGGTGGATCCTGACTTTAGTGAGTGTATTTTAGTAGTTAGAAATGCTGCATTGGTCCTTCTTTTGTTTGCTTCCTTCTCCTACTGCTTCTTTCTTCTTTCATTGCTCGAATGAGGGTTTTGTTTTATTTGGAGGCGCTGTCCCTCATATTCCCTGATTTTATCTCCATTTGTACTTTTCTTGGGATTAAGTGGATTTAGGAGCAGAGAAAACCAGGACGTGGATGACAGCAAGTAAATGGAGTTAGTCTTCGAAACTCCTTTCTTATTCTGTCAGGTCTGCTGTGTCATGAAAAGGCAAAAATCACGAAAAATGGCCCCTGGTCCCTTGAAGTCAGGCTAAACTATCCACTGAAGTCATTCAAAAGGGGAGGTCACGGATAGTCCCGTTGGATGTGTCAGGGTAGAAGGCCCAATTGGAGATGCCCACTGGTGGCACCGAGGCTAGAGATCAATCTGACTCAGGGGTGTTGGTGGCATTAGGTGGGTTAAAAACAAACCAACAAGCCCATACACCAACCGCTATACCCTTAGTCTGCCTTCCCAGCCAAGTCATGTTGCTTCTGGAAATTTAGCATCTTCTTTTCTTTGCGTAAAGTGGCAGGAAAACATACTTCATTTTCAGTGTTCTGGGTCTTGGAATAAAATATTCTCCATCACTTTGAGATATTGCAACATTTCACAGGGTCCTGGAGGGTTCAGATTTCTTTTTGCTTTAATAATCTTTACAGAACTGTGTGAACTTCAAAATAAAGTTTGGCTTATCTTTGTTATTGGAAAAAATACACCCTATCAGCCAGCCCTAGAAGTCAGGAAAACTAGCTTCTCTGGAGCATGACATTAAATCCTCCATTTCCTTGATTATCTCCTGTGCTAAGTGCTTGCTTGAGCAGGGTGAGGAAGCTTCACTGAGCTTCCATGGGAGGAGTGGCTGGCCTTGGACAGTCTTTAGCCTTAAAAACCTTCGTAAACTGCTCTTCCCATGACTTCTCCCTCTCGCTCCTGCAAACCAGCCTGACTCCAGGGCTTCCCACTGGAGTCGAGGAAACTGAGGGGACAGGCTCAGACCACGAAGGGACAACCGCTGTTTGTCCCAACAGCAACATCTGTGAGGATGCCTTTGCTTGCAGCCAGCAGAGCAGAATAATCTGAATTATTAAACATTCTCCCAGATCAGCTACATCTTTATCTCTGGTTTGGAAATGTACCAATACTCTGGCAGCAAAGGAAAGAGGTCAATCAACTCAAGCTTGAGAAACTCAGAAGGCTGCCATGGGCTGGAGGAGACGCAGTTTGAGTCTTGTGGCTGAGCTGAAATGTGGCCAGGGAGATTTTAATAAAATTTTAATAAATATTTACCGTATTCCTTCCTTCTTCCTTCCTTTTCCTTCTTTCCTTCCTTCCTTCCTCCCTTCCTTCCTCCCTCCCTTCCTGCAAGACTGTTATAGGTGGAAGAGAGAAATGGGAATTGGACTCCTTGCAAGTATTCTTTGATCTCTGAAATAGAACTTACACTAACACGGTAGCCGCTAGCTACACGTAGCTATTTAAATTTAAACTAATACAAAATTTAAATGGACCTAAGCATTCAGCTCCTTGGTCACATGAGCCACATCTTGAGTGCTCAACATCCATACGTGCCAGTGCTTACCCTATTAGCCCAGAGAAGGAATATTTCCAACCCGGCAGAATGTTCTGTTGTGCAGGCTGCTCTAGAACTTCTTGAGTCCCTTTGCAAATATTATACAGCTACTTTCTTTCTTTAAGCCTCCCTACCTCTTTGAGCTTCTTCATGAAATAAAAGGAGTCTAAAGGGCCTCCTTCAAAGGACTGCTATGAAATTTAAATGTGACATCAACTGTACGTAATGCACACATCCCGGTACCTAGCACATTATATTGCTTGGTAATCGGTGGCTCAACAAGTCCATTCAGACTGGAGCTAGACACACTTGGTCTTGAAAGGTACCTGTAACCTACAAAGCTTTCTGAAACAGTGTGTCCTTGGGAATTAGACTATTTTTCCAGGATCAAGTCCCTCACCATGGTTGATGAGAGCCATACTCAAGAGTCCTAAAGAGAGGAAGGCTTTTTGCTTTCCAAAACGCTCTGTATCTTAATAGGAAAGAGAGAGAAAGAAATGAAAATCTCCTCTGAGAAGCAATGTTTTTAGTCCTGAACTAGTAAGTCCAATGAGATGAAAAATCTCGGCAAAGAGGTGTTTATCCTATAGGTGTCAACACAGCCTTGGGCGCAGACAGGCAAACCTCCGCTCTACTGGGAACTGTGTATACACAGCAAGGGTAATTACGCGGGGCTACGGCTGCCAACATGATTTAGCAAACTCCCTGCCTGCAAAGGACTGATCCTCCCCTGGAGAATGGGCCCAAATGCAGTGCAACTGCACAGACCTACCTGAGCTCCCCCTGCCACAGGCTCTTTGAGGTCTTTTGTAATTTGCATTCCTTAGGCAAATGGAATTTAAATTCCTTAGGCAAATTTCATCCTGATGGAACACCAAGATGACACGCATGCCATGATCTCATTGTTGAGGATTTCTGCTTTATAATCATTAATGTATGCTTCAACAGGCAGGTGAGGTAAAGCATTTGGGCCCAATCCCACTTTACTTTCACGAAAGCTCCTTTCCCTTTCACTAGCCCTTGCTTTTCAAAGCACCTTCACGAAGATCTCAGGTGTACTTCACGGTCTGCTTGTGTGTCGGAAGGGCGTAATGACATATTGCAGAAAGTCACAGGACCGGGGTTCCGGTGTGGGCTGCAAGTTAAAAAGCCTGTAGGTAGATGTTTCCCTTGTACCGCTGCAGCACTGTGAGATCAGAGGGGTTGGGCAGGTTGCAATCGGAGCACAATGTAATTGTTCTGCGTTTGCAGATGGGGGAGGATCTGTCCTCTGTTTCACAGGGAGGTCTTTTACATTTCAAATTAGATATTCAATTTGCAAACAGAACTATAAGTTCTTTCAAGCATTAACTTGGAGCCAAACTTTGCCTCATATTTATTTTTTCCTACGTAATACCACCTTCAGCATCTCAGTCGTAGGGATGATTTAATTTGAGACCTGGATTAATGTGATCATTTTGCTATGAACCTTCATTTTCCTAGTTCTCAATTCTGATGCTGGGGCCATGTGGATTGGCTGCTACGATGAGAAATTTACCTCCTGATTAGGGAAAGGTCAGCAAATGAGAGATGGTTGAGGCAATGGACCTGGGCTGGAGTCTTGGCTCCTTCCTTCGGCTCTGGGTACCTTAATTGTCACTACCTCTCTAAGCTGTATCCTTATTTTAGAATAATACTTATGCTTCATGGGGTATGTGTGAAGCTTAAATTAAGTGTGAAAAGTGGACAGAAATAAAGACCCACGAATGGTGTTATAAAATTCTACACACCTCTATAGCCTGTCTCTCCCTGTACACACACACATCACACACACACACACACACCCACATACACACACCTAACTAGTGATGTTAGAAAGTACTGATTAGGATCATCTTAATTTTTCTTTAGATTTTACTTTTCAAAAATCTCACTTGTCTTCATCAGCTCTGAAAAACAGCTCTGAAAAAAAAAAACTCTTAAAAGAACCATCTGATTTTGTTAGAATTTTCCAAGTTATTCTATCTATAAATTGGTGAGCAAGATGTTTTGAATATAATAACTACCTTGACTTTTGTTCCATGAAGATCTTAAGCCACCCCTCCTGAGTGCCCAGGAGCCTGTCCTCAGTCAGTACATGGCGTATCATTTCTGTTCGTGTCTGTGAGCAGGTTTTAGCGTAAGGACATTTTGCTCACTGCCGTGTCTTCAGTACTGAGCGCAGTGTGAGGTAAACAGTAGGCATTGAATAACTGACTCAAGGAGTGGACGAAGTAAATGGGTAGCCTGACAAAGCCAAATGAATCTACAGTGGCATCTAAGGATGTCTCCTCCCTCCTGGTAACCCTCTGCAGCCTGTCAAACAACTAAAGTTGTAGGTATTTCAGGCTTAGGACATGTTTTGAGTTTTTAAGATTTTATTTGAGAGAGAGCACAGAAGCAGGAGGAGTGGGAGAGACGGAGAGGGAGAAGCGGGCTGAGCAAAGAGCCTGACGTGGGGCTCGATCCCAGGACTCCGAGATCATGACCTGAACACAAGGCAGATTCTTAACTGACTGAGCCACCCAGGCGCCCCGTGCTTTATTTTATTTAGCTCTGAGGAAACCAGGTCTGGAGGTAGAGAAGAGGAGGGAAAAAAAAAAAACAAAACCTTTGGTCTCTGTGTCTTTTAAAAATTATTGTGAAGTTTGGTTTTTTCCCCTCTACTATACCCAGGGTGAGTGTTTGTCAAAATAAAACCTCTTCTAAAATGGCAGCAGTTTCCAAGAAACAAGACTTAGGATTAAAACTCCATCACAAAGAACTCTGAATTTAGAATCAGTGTCGGCAGCCTCTATATACAGTATCCATGCGCCTTCAACCAGCTCAAACTTCTAAGATTCCATTAGGTTTAACCATGTCCACTCTCTGCAATCTCAAAATGGGCAGTGATGCACCAAAGTGAGGGCTTACGACAGATGGCATCCCAGGTTCTCTCCCTTCTCAAATAACAGAAGCTGAGTCAATGAGTTCCATTTAGCAAATAATAAATTTATTAGGTGCCTACAAGTACAAAACACTGAAAGCCGCTGTAGGGGATTATAAAGATGTGTAGAAGAGCCCTGCCCTCAAAGAGCTTACAATCTAGGTGATTAGTCACAATAGTAAGTCATGGCAATAGCACTCGAGGTGACTTACACAGAGTTCTTGGAACATTCACATCCTTTGAATTCTCCTGTTGTCGTACGTGTAAGGAATCCTTTCTACAGGAAAGCGGACCAGTGGGAAAGAGACCTTGTGTGGACTTTAATGGTGACCTTGGCTTTGCTTATGAGCATCTTTCTCTCGCTGGCTCCTTATCCTTGTAACTCTCTCAGCATCGTTTCCTAACGACCTTTGTTAGGAGAGAATCTCCATGCTTCCTGAACCTTCACCAGGGTTTCCTGTTTGTTAGTGAGTGGCTCAGTGGCAGTTCGGCCTTGGAATGATTTGCAGTCCGATTTCTCCTTCAGCAAATCTGATTTTCATTTTAGTTGATGCTAGAATGATACGCTTTGCAATCTGTGGTTTTTAAGGGTAGGAGTGAGATGCAATACACAGGAAAGCAGGCCAGACCTTTCCCTTACTTTAAACATTTAATAGTGCACTTACGGATTATATTCTGTACAGATATAGAGCAAGTTATAAACCTCTTATTTTTTCTTTCACTTAGATTGTATTCATGTAAAGTGTATTTACATTAGGAAAAAAAAAAAAGCCTTGAGGTACAAAACCCAAAAGAATATCTGAGGTATAAATACAAGTATATTTTAAATAATAATTTTTATCATGCTTTATCTATGTTTGAAAGCACAGTGGACATGTGTACATGTTTCTTTATCTTAATAGAATGGTATATACAACATATAATCTTACAAATCTGAAAGCTATTAAAATTGAATATACAAGTATATCTTCATGAGGAACACTGATATCCAAAATACTCAAATTTTAAAACTCTAATCTCCCCCCCACTGCAAATTCTTCAAAGAACCTTTGAAATAACACTGACAATGGTAACTAAATTATAACAAAATAAAAATCCTTCTTACATCTCTCATTCATACATTATTCACTTTTGATCCATACAAAATAAATTCACTAATACTGTCTCATGAGTCAATCTTTATGGTTACAGTAAAACCTGGACAAAGACCACCCACCCTTCCAAAAAACTGTGCTGGTGCTTTTTCAGTTTTTTTTCCCTGCGATAACTATTTTCCTTTACCGCTAAAAAGATAGTCCAAGGGCATCACTATAAAGGAAAAGAAAAAGAAATGTAGGGAAAACAAAGCACAAAAAAAAAAAAGTTGCAAAACCAGAAAAACTATTTGCTGAAAATTTCAGGACAAATCCAACAACTAAATATGTGCAGCTTTCAGAAATGCCGTGACTAACAACAATCAGCACCTGTTGTTAAATTTTAATACCGTGGGTTAAATTTACAGGGATTTCCTTGGGACATACATAGTTTCCGATGTTTTCGGTGTGTCTTCAAGACTTTTGGTTATAAACAGGAAAATGCAAAGCATTCCAACAGGTAAAAGGTTCTGAGGCTTGATTCAGGAGTAGATGTTAGGGTGTTCAGTCGTTGTATCTTGACTTACAAAACAAACACAAAAACCCCCAAATAAAACTGTGCTTTGGAGCTAGTAAGGGTGGGGGCTGGGGGGGAGTAGTTTCTTCCCTGAACTAATCCATACTGGTTAAAAAACTATATCGCTATTTGCAATGAGGTCTAAAGACAACTGTGTTTGAGAAGGGACACTGGAATCAATCGACCACAATTACTTTTAAGGAAAGAGGAGGTTGGTAAAAAAGGAATGTGCTTAATGACTTGGAAAAAGAAAGAAGCGACCAAGGGTGTTGGGTCCCCTTTCTGGATGGGTCCATGGGCAGTCAGTATCTCAGGTTAAACTGAACCTGACGCATCAAAATCCTTCTAGAAGGCGTCCCAGTGTGCCAGACACTGTGCTCCAATGTACACCTCTCTGCCACTCAACCAGCAACAAACACACGTACAGACACTCCTCTGTGCAAACCTTTCTTTGCTCATCTCAGTGAGAAACAGGTCAAAGAGTACCAACGATTCCAGTGGATACACCGGTCCCCCAACACGCTGCAGATACGACGACACAGGGACACACACACCAGTATCACAAGAGAATGACGTCTCTTCATTATTTTCTGTAACGTATTTATAGTTTTGCTTCTCAGAAGCAACTTGAATAAGAACACTTTTTTTTTTCTTTTGCACAGTCTTATATATTCCAGGCAAGGTCTATAATCTAGACCTTCAACAAACAGGAAGCAGCTTTAAAAATGTCTTAAAATCGCTACAGGTGATCCCCACACTCCAACTTCTAGCTGTCTTAGTTTCAGGACTAGACTCAGAACCCATTCTTCCAAGGACCGGCAAAGGGCTTCCAGAAACAAACGTCCGGACGGTGGACACAGCCGCTCGGCTTCAGTAATCACCTAGATTTGGGGTCTTTGGTTTCAGTGTTCTGATTGCTGAAAGAGTCTCGGATCTTCACGACTTCGGCTGCACACAAATGTCCAAAAGATTTTGTGTACCACTCTGGCATGTGGCCCCTGCAACGGAAAGGAAAAGCAGATGGGTTCTTCACACTGGAAAGCCCCGAAAGAAGCCGGGTGGAGCTCCGAGGACACTTCCATGTCTTGATCCAGAAGCCATGTAAGCAAGGATTACTGCTAGTATTCCACGGTAACCTCCTGGCATAGCCATTACACTTCTGGAGCCAGAAGTTTCTCAAGGAACACCATACTGAGTACAGACACTGAGTGACATTGTTTAGGGAAAGCTTTAGCATGCAGAACAAAAACAGATCACACAGATGACTGAAAAAGTACCAAGAGGTAAAGACTGCAAATGAGAATTTAACCACTGTGTAAAGTTTTGAGAGGTTCATGTTTTGGCTGTATTGCTGCATTTCAGTGAGTTTTCTGATATGAACACACACTCATCAATGGCACCCGCTATAGGCCTGACTAATGGCTGAAACATACTATGTATATTCACATATATTCGTATTTTCAAATACCTTTGAATATAAAATGAGAATCATCTGCTTGCTAGTTCCAGCTCTCATTTCCTATGGCTTTAAATGCACGGCAGAAGCAGCGTATCACACCACCTTCTCTAAGGGACTGAGATCAGGAAGCGGTCCCCCAAAGACCAAGAAACAGGAAGGTGTTACTTTATAAAAACTGCTCTTTAGGGAGTAGACAAGGTACAATGATGTGTTCATTTAAGCCATTCTCTGTAGCAGACAAAAAGTCCCATCTTCCTCATGACCCTCACCATGTCACAAAAATCAGAATCAGAACATACCTTAAGTCGGCTCTGCACATGTAGGTGAGTTTGGATTTCCCCGACCCGCAGGGTTCGATCAGATACCAGGAGAGAAGCACATTGACTCTCACCCCCACCACAGGTGCCCGGTCATGATCCACGGAGGTGAGTAAAAGGGCACATGCGCCCTTCGGTAAATTAGTCCGCCATGTTCTGTAGAGACAAAACCAGAGGGGAAAAAGATGGAACCGCCAGGAAGCCAAGTTGAAAATGGGCCCCACTGTCAAAAGAGACAACTGAGGGGCAGGATCAGTTCCTATGCTGTGTGACCCAGTCCTAGATGGATGGCACCCTCTGAACTATTGTGCAAGGGCTCTCGAGTGAGGAACTCCGTACAGAGCCGCTACGGTGCATATATATTCACACATCAGTTCTTTGAAAGAGAACCAACATGAAGTGTGACTGAAAACCATTTTTACATTTCACGAATTAGCACATGGCCATCCAAACGAGCACTGCTCTGTTGGAAAGCTCTGGACTAATGATGTGCCATTTCCTCAAAGATTTTTGGAATTCCTCGTTCGATAATGTCTCCAGAGAATTTATGAATTACATATAATTCAGCTTTAACCACAGCTCACTTGGGACTTAAATGTTATTTCCTGGCTTATGCACTCACTTGCTGTTTCTGGTGAGAAAAATCTATCCTAGAAGGGGCGAGAAACTGCTACCAATGAGCATATTCAATTGAAGGTGCCTCTATTTATTTATCGTATTTTTAAATATTTTTAAAGATTTATTTATTTGAGAGAGAGTGAGAGAGCGTGAGTGGGGAGAGGAACAAGCAGACCCTGCACTGAGCGCAGAGCCTGATGCAGGGCTCAATCTCACAACCCACAGATCACAACCTGAGCCAAAATCAAGAAGAGCTGGACGCTTAACCAACGCAGCCACCCAGGCGCCCCAAATGGGCCTCTATTTCTGAGTTCGATTCCAAAAGCGTTCCAACTATTTTCAGGGATGAACACACTGTTGGAATACATACAGACACATTTTCTGTATCTGGAAGGGTTCAACGCTATTTCACAGAGGCATACCTTCTACTTTACTTAATTTTACCATCTCATCACATTCAGTGACACCAGGCACATCCTTGTTACAGGGATCCATTTGGAAGCTCTCACCTCAAAACCACGTAGTCCCGGGCAGGATGGGGCGCCATACTGTTTTGGACATACTGGTAAATTTCCGTTTGGCTGTCCAGGATTTCAATCACTTTGGAATCCAAGAGGTCTACGTCCCAGAGGTGCTGTTCTTTGAGGAGGCGCTTTAAGATTTCCTCAGGCATGGCAGGGACTTCAATGGTGGACCGCCAAAGCCTTAGGGGAGGTCCTTCGCTCACCTGAAAAGAGGATGTATTTTTCAGCACTAAGACAATTCACACACCCCTACACTTCGAAGGCCAATTGCCGGTTGTATGTACAGTCATGTGTTTGGAGGCTAATTATTATCTATATGCTGGTATCCCCAAGTATATTCAAGAGCAGGCCAGAAAACCTGGCCTTTGGCCAATTTTCTGATCAAAATTATTAACATTTGTTTTCCTGGGACTCATATGAGGGTGAACGCAATAAAAATCAGATCATTTATCTGCATCCTAACACCTGCATGGCCATCCAGGTGCTGTCACTGCTTATTTCTTTTCAAGGTGGTAGAGACGGGATCAAGAAATACTATCACGGGCCTATCATGCTAAGCCATACAAGACATCCCTGCCCTCAAGGGGCTTCTAGTCCTAACAAGTTAATTTCTCACCCAAGTAATCCCCACTCATTAAAGGGCCAAGAGAAAAGTGGCTGAGAACAGAGGAGCGTGCAGGGGGATTCTGATCAAATTATGGAAATATCTAAGCATGTCATAGAATGCACTAAAGCCCAATACCTATAGCCCAGGGAACTGTACTGTGATTCTGTGGAACCAAAGGATTTCAGTAGATGGTCCGATTCCTCCAACAAGCGTGAGTTGACTATGATTCCTTGCTGACCTGGATTCCACTCTTCCCTGGGGAACCGAATCACCTGGTTGGCCAGGTCTACAAGGAAGGGAATGGGTGACAGATGCCCATGGAGAGCTGAGCTGGCCCCAGGGTCTCACCTCTGATGAACCTGAACCCTGACCGCTGGAACTCAACCGGCTGACAACAGAGCCAAGACTTACCTTCTTATAGGAGAGCTCGGCCTGCTCAGACGTGGAGTAGCTGACCCAGCCTTTAAACTTCTCCTTGACCTCTTTAAACAGGCTATCCACACAGTCCTGGAGGAAGTGCTGGTAGTCAGCCGACTCGTCGTGATGCAGGCGCCCCAGTGCTTCTAGAGTGAGGGGCTTCAGCTCCTGTTCTGTGTAGGAATTCCGACATCGACTCATTTCCTCAGGGACCTGTGGGGGACGCGAGAGACCAAAAGGAGGTGAGTGTGCCTGTACTTGTTCCCGATGCCCATCAGGGGAAGGGGCGGGGCAGTGGCAACACGCTGGGCTCTCGAGGTGCTGCGGGCACCCCACCTGCTCCGTCTCCCTGCACACTAAGGGCTGGGCCTGCTGACCTCCCAAGGTATCGTGAGGACACAAACACGTCACCTTCATAAACGTATCTAAAAATCCTATTCCCATCTAAGGTGTTCTTCTGCTTTGGAAAGTCACAGGAGGAGGGTAAATGACGAATACGGGGCTTAAGTGGATGAGGACAGGCTTCTCAGATACAGAATTATTTCAGATCATTGGTTGCTTTTGCTTTTTAAGTCAAGGGGTATGGCGATAGGCAAATTTCATTCAACACGTTAACTCTAATGAGCTCATACATTATAAAATAAATAAGATGTTCTTAGAAAAGGAAAAAAAAGACATTCTTGAGCTATGTATATAATCTCCAGCTGTGGAAAGATCTTTTGGTAAGATGTGAACAAACTCGGTGCCTAAGATTTTGTCCTCATGATTTACGTAATCCTCAACAAATAACAAAGCTCCCCAACTCCTTACCTGGAAAAGCTTCTTGCACTCAGCAATCATATGGGCCAGACCCTGAGTGGCAGCGAGGTTTTCATTCAAATCTTTCTGATCTGGTTTGCCCAAACTTTGTTTTCTTTGCATTACCCTAGGCAGAAGAAATAAGGGAGGGGGGAGATTCAAATATTTATGTGTGTTTAATTAATGTGTTATTCTAGGAAACCCAAAGGAGAGAAAAAAACCATTTTACCGGAGCCTATGTGTTACCAAGAGGTTCAGGAGAGCTTTACTTTGGTCACTAAAATTCCTCAGTTTTATCAGCAAAGCACAAAAAACATGAAAGGGACTGTTCTCAGTGAGATCTAGGCTGTTTAAAGCCATCACGTTAAACAGGTTCCTATTTAAATAGGGCAGCTTGGAAGGTCTACGGCTGTTGGTGGGGAGACAGAAGGCAGCTTCAAGGGGCGCGAGGACAGGAGGCACTGTATGGGGGTCACTTTTCTTTACAGTTTAAATAAATAAAATCCCCTCCTGAAGGCGAGGGGACCATCTATTGTTTCCTAGAGGTTTCTCTTCATCTTATCTGATCTCTCTCTTCTGCTCATCTCTTGTTCCCTACCCTATTGAAGATGGAATGCCTCAGTTCACATGAGAACTAGATAAAAAGATATGTTAAGTATTGTACGGCTTTCAGAAGCAAAGCTGACTTCATCTAGCACAACCAGGCGTCAGGCCTGGAGCGAAGGAGTATCTGTCCAGTACCTTCAGAGCTGAGGAAAACGATCAGCTGGATGGGTCCGACGTACGGGGTTAAGTCCCCATTAGGGCCTCCTTTCTTACCTACTCAGCTGTGAGGCCCTTAAGGGAAACATTCACAGCCGTAAGAAGCTCCAACTGGCTCGGCCATCTCCCCTGTCAGATGTGGGCAAGTTACTTATTACACTGACCCTCCCTGCAGTCTCACCTCCCTGCCAGGATCTTCACCTCCTGTGATTGTTCCCAGGATTAAATGAGAGAATGAATGTCAAGGGTGTAGTCCCGTGGTTGGGTCAGAATCAGTGCTGAGCAAATATCAGCCTTTGATATTTTCCAGATCCTCTGACTTCTTCTTCATCCACTCCCAGCTTATATACGTCCAAGGAGAAGCTTTGCACACAATGGGCTTAGGCCAGGTCCTGGCTTTGAGGCTCAGCGTTATCCTTAGTTCTTTTAGACCCAGCTAACCACCTTACAACTTCCAGCACAGGCTGGGGGCTTGGCTTTCTTGACCCCGCAGAAGCCAGGGCAGTGAGGACCTTATTTCCATGCAGTTTTTGAGGTGAGTAAATCCGCACGATTTTTTGCTGGCAGAAAGTGTGACGGCAAGGTCACAGAGGGTGCCAGGGAGGATCAGGGCAAACGCTTGCCAGGGCAAAGCACATACCCAAATCTCTCTCTCAAAACCTGGGTGCCACTAGACTGCCTAGAAAGTCACAGCCCCAGGGCTGAGAAGGAGGGAAGTGTGGGGGCTGTGAAGGAAGGAGGCAAACTGCTTGACTCAAGTGTGAATCCAAGAAACCCAGGGGGACAACCGAGAAGGAAAGGTAGGCTGCCCTGGTCTGAAGAACAGAGCATGTGTGTGCACATCTCCTCGGACCCGTACCTTGGAGAAGAATTCTCTCTCTTCAGGGTGTTGAGGTGGAAAAGGGAAGGCGCTAGGCACACAGCCAGGTTGGTGGGAGTCATCTGGTTTTCTTTTACAGCTGCTGTGACGTCGCTCAAGAAGTAAAGGAGGGTCTGTAGGACCTCCCGGTTCTCATCAGGCAGGAGCATAATGGCGGCCTTGATAGCCTGGAGGCGCTGGTCCTTGGGCACACCTGTTCAACACCGACATTTCCCCCGTCAGCTCAGTGCTTTTCCACGCACATCGCGAGGAATCGTCCCAAAGCAAATACCAGCCCCAACGACCTCAGCCCAGTACTGAACAAGCACTTGCAGAGAGTGTACTTGAGGGCGCCTGGGTGGCTCAGTCGGTTGAGCGACTGCCTTCGGCTCAGGTCATGATCCTGGAGTCCCGGGATCGAGTCCCGCATCGGGCTCCCCGCTCGGTGGGGAGTCTGCTTCTCCCTCTGACCCTCCCCCCTCTCATGCTCTATCTCATTCTCTCTCTCAAATAAATAAGTAAAATCTCTAAAAAAAAAAAAAAAAGAAAGTGTACTTGAGGTTAATATGTAAGAAATTAGGAACCGCCACCAGCGTCACTACCCTCAAGGATTTCCCGCCTGTGGAGGAGTTAACAATTTTTCGACACCCACAATGCCAATATCCTCCTAAATCCACTCGGAGTTCAACTCCAGATATGATGCCTGTTCTTTTGGTTTATGGAATTAGTTTTTCTTTCCTAAGTATTTTTTTTTTTTTAGAAATCCCTAGTGTACCATTCTCGATTACTGAAAACACACACATTTATACTGTGGTTTAGTCTCAGTGAAAAACTGTATCTAAGATATGTACAAAGGGATAAAAACTTTCTCAGCCTTTACACAAAATGTTCATTATCTCTGGGGACTTTCCATAATTATAACTGATCTGCTCATTCGTAAGATGTGGAAAGGAAGCTGCTAAAATACTCAGTTGAAACAACAGCTATTTTTACTAGTAATTTCCTTAAGTTTTGGAAAGCATACTAGGGGACGATTATAAAAATATGTGCTTGAGAAACAAGCCAGTAAAATAATATACATGTAGAAAATGCTGGGCCCAACCTTCAGGTCTCCTTTATTAGGCAGATCTGTCTTTTAAGAGGCATGTGGTGGAAAAATCAAGTCACTCAAGTGCAGCTCCATAGGACAAACTGATCAAAACAGCTCCATGGTTACAATACATAACAAATACCTTGGTGGGGAAAATGTGACCTGTGTTTTCATAAAATCTGAAAGGATGAAACAAATAATGAAATAATCCAGACCAGCTCCATTTCTCATAAAATAAAGTCCAATGCACTGGTTTAAAGACAATTCGAGCACGAATAAAGAAGCTGCTTTTATATTACATTGCTGTAACACCACATTGAGCCAAGAAAAACACGGGGCTGTAAATGCTATAATCCTGATCTTGATCATTAATTTAGACAACTGTTTGCTTTAAGCTTTACTTAAAAGTGAGAAGGGCATGGGTATTGTTTTCCCAAGTATTTCTGGCAGAAGCTGAGATGAATAACAGAAAAAGATTATTTATTCATTTTACAGCAAGATAAAACACACAGACACCTGTGAAGTTTTAAACCCAACAGGCCCTGCTAGAGAGCTGCACATCAACAGAAATATCCTGGTACCTGCTCTTCTAGAAGCATCTTAGATAACACTGTTCTAGAAGCGAATGAAAAGGTGAGCTCCTGGATCAGCATGTAAGAATGTGGGGAGCACCTGGGTGGCTCAGTGGGTTAAGAGTCCGACTCTTGATTTCGGCTCAGGCCATGATCTCAGGGTCGTGAGACTGAGGCCGGCATCGGGCTCCGTGCTTGGCGTGGAACCTCCTTAAGTTTCTCTCTTTCTCTCTCCCTCTGCCTCAACCTCCCCCAGAAGAATGTAAGAATGTGTAAGTGCTCCTATATTGAGAGAATGAGGATAAGGGAAATTTATTTTTGCATTATTCAATAGGTATACAGAAACCTGCTCTACAAACAAGGAGAAAAGGAAGAAACAGATGACACATACTTCCAAGAGGTCATCGTGTGGGTTCCAGAGAAAGGCATGACAGGAAGCCACGGGTTTCAGCCGGTCCCACTTATCCCCAAGGCCAACAATATGGAAATCAAAGAACACTTACACTGATAGATCTGTAGAAAGGTTTCTGAGAGCTTGTTCGTCATTAGCGGCTCAGGAAGGTCTCGAAAATACTGCTTGAGCATGTCTGCCACATCATAAGCAGACTGCCCCTCATAGCTGACGCAATCAATGGCACTTTCATTCATCTGGCGCAGAGCCTGGATCCGGGATTTGACACCGGATTTTCTGAAAAGCCCCACCTGTTGGAAGAAAAACATGACATGTCAGGATAGAAGCAATATTTCCACTACAGAATCATAAAAGGAAGCTTGAGTCCGAGGCCCCATGATTCCACGGGACCTGTGCACAGCGGTCCTCACCTGATCCAAACAGTGGTTGCGGAGGTAGCGCATGGCTTGCTGGATGCTCTGGGGCAGGGGCTGTCCCGTGCGCTGCACATTGACCGTCAGAGGGACCCCGAACACATTCCGGTCCTTGTAGTCTGGGACCTTGATCCTTTTCATGAACTTGGGCACAGCCCTATTTAAAGAACAGTAGTAGGGGTGGGGAGAGAGGTTTATTTGTCTGTATACTCTTACCCATCTTTGCAGGTAAACCCTGTGGGCTTTAGAGCTGTGCTAATAAGGTGGCTATTTAAATAAAATTACAGATTTAGTTCCTCAGTCATATTAGCCACAGTTCAGGTGCTCACGAGCCATCTGTGGCCAGGAGCTACCAGATGAGCAAATATAGAACGTTTGCACTGTCACAGACAGTTCTGTGGGACAGGACTATTCTGGATCTTCTAAGAGTTGGGGGCTATGAGACCCAGGAACATTTTCTCTGTTGGGGATTCTCCTTCCACTATTAACTCTGAGAACTGGGTCTATATTCTTTTTTTTTTTAAAGATTTTATTTATTTATTTGACAGAGAGAGACAGTGAGAGAGGGAACACAAGCAGGGGGAGTGGGAGAGGAGAAGCAGGCTTCCCGCTGAGCAGGGAGCCCGATGAGGGGCTCGATCCCAGGACCACGGGATCATGACCTGAGCCGAAGGCAGCTGCTTAGTGACTGAGCCACCCAGGCACCCCTGGGTCTATATTCTTAAGGGAGCCGATGGGCTTCCTTACAAAATGGCAGCACAGGAAGGCATAAGAAACAGAAAACATTCAAGACCTGAATGAGGCGCTTCACGACAGAATTTGAGAAACATGTTCCCGTTTGTCCTGTAAATGGACAAGAATCATTTCTAAGTTTCTGATGAGTTTCAAAGCATTTAAGGTATAAAAGGATCATGTAATGCTAGATGAGAAAAGAGCAAATACGTGGTGTTGGTCCAACATAATGAGAACCAACTCCAGAGCGCAACAATGGGGGCCAAGCTAATGACCGGAAGTCAAAATAAATCCTCCTGCTCATGACCCCGGAGAGTACATCTTCAGGTTTCTAAAGGAAGATGAAAAAGAACAATGAAGGTTTTGTGAGCTTACACGCCAGGCTCCCCGGAGTCCTAAAACCAGGTCCAGCCCCAGCAGTACACGGAACAGCAGGAAACCGATGTCACGCATTTAATGCTGTCAAGCAGAAACTTCAGCTCTAAAAGTGACCTCTCTAAACGGGACAAGAAAGGGCAAGGCCGAACAGGAAAAGAACTTTGTGCAGAATTTCTCCTTATTCCATGGATCCCACAATGCGAGGCTTTTACATTTGGTTTTGACTCACTGGAAAAACTGACCAGAGCTCAAGAAGTATTACGGACTTTCAGATTCTTGAGGGTTTGGTGGGAAGGGGGTGGGCAACTCAGAAACGAGAATGTAAAATATGTACTTTTAAATAGCCAGCAGGGAAAACAGGGCTCTAAGCACCGAGGAACACTGCAGAAGACAGGCTGCTTTGACTTCTGAGGGCTTCCCAGCAGCCACAACACGTTACTGTTTATAGCCCTACGAAAGGTAAAACGAAAGCGCAGAGCCAAATTTGTATTTCCATACAGTTAAGTATATGGTATCGTGGCCATAAGTGTGTATAATACTCGCGTTGTCGGGGGGAGAAAAGCCCAGAGGCGGAATGTGCAAAGAACACATTACGATCTCCACCGAGAATCTGAAGCATGCGGGGATAAACCGGTCAATACTTATTTCTGTCATTCAGAACAAACAACTTCTGTATTTAGCAAGGCTCACATAATAACAGCCTTTGAACGGGAGGTGCTTTGATGCTGAAGTTAAACTCACTACGAGTCCTGAGGAGAGGAGGACCTGGGGAGAGAAGGGACCCTTACGCTGCTTTGCCGACTCTCCCGGGCCCCTCTGGTCGCTGCTAAGGGAAATGGGCTGCTTCTCTGTTTTTATAAAAAGCAGAGGTTGTGCAACTGCGATGATAAACACTCAGATGACTGAAAAGGCTTAAGGATACCCAGCTGACACAGTGAAATGCACTTGGATGTCAATCTGGAGGTAGGTCTCTGCACTGACAGCAGAGAAATTAAGGTATGCACGCATTAGGTCCCATCCATGACCCATGCAGCCTGACAGTCTCCAGCTCACGTTGCACACGCCAAGGGCTGTATTCTTGAAAGCAATTACGAACAGTTCTCCGATGAATTTTACCTTCATGTATATTTTAGCCTGTAATATCTTAGAGCAGTGAATTCTTTGTGTTTGTTATTCACTGTTCAAGAGTCTCTTTTAGAAAAAAACATAACCTGAATTTTTTAGCACAGGTAGATTTTTGAGTGATGCTTCAAATATTTACATCAGAAATGATTTCTAAAAACATACACGAAAAGGGTTATAAGGCCAGGTGCTGTACGTCAAACATTTCAAAGTTGGTCTCAACATCCTATGATACGAACAAAATTTTTCTTTCCTTCTTTCCCTAAGTATGATCTGATACTATACACATATTTACCTATGGGGGGCTATTTCTTTTTCTTAAGATTTATTGATTTTGGGGGGGGGGCAGAGGGAGACAGAGAGAGAGAATCCTCAAGCAGACTCCCTGCTGATGGCGGAGCCGGACGTGGGGCTGGATCTCACAACCCTGAGATCATGACCTGAGCCGAAATCAAGAGTCGGATACTAAAGCAACTGAGCCACCCACACGCCCCTGGTGGGCTCTGCCTGACACCGGGAAGGAGGCACCTGTCCAGTGTGATGGAACAGCAATGCAGTCTCACCCCAAGAACAGGCGATTTGTCAACCTGAGAGCTGAAACTCACTCAAGCAATCCCGCCGCTTATTCCCTAAAGAGAGACTGGCTTGAGCAGTATCAAATATGGCCTCAAGAATGCAAAGATTACATTAGGATGATAGTCTAAAGGTATTAATAAAGAATTGAACTGCAACATACTCAGTGTTGGGACAGCTTCAAGGAGCTGACCAAAAACTCTTCCAATTAGTTTACTGAGCACAGTTAACCCTTACCAGCTAAAGCCATGCTTATTAGAAGGTGTGTATTTCTCCAGCAGGGCAGTTAACTTTAGGAGCGAGTATTTCTGCAGCAGGTTCATCTGGGCCACCGACTGGCAGTTAATCTGCAGTGACACAGAATTTAAGCTCGGCCGATGGGAGCTCTGGAAACTGTGCCATCTCAGCCTGTGCCTGTGGGAGAAGAGCGGGGGAGGGAGTGAGTACAAGGGCTCTCTAACAGGTAGAGGCGAAATCAGCAGGGGCTGCGCCCTGCAGGGTGTCTTATCTCAGGAACGGAGAGGACTCAACTTCCAACCCATTCTTTTCCTTCCCCCGCTGTGGTAAAATACACATGACATAAAGGACCATCTTAACCACTGCTAAGTGTACAGCTCACAGGCCTTAAATACCTTCTCACTGTTGTACAACCATTACCCCCCAGTCACCCCCAAGACTTACTTCCTCTTCCCAAACCGAAACTCCGGACCCGCTGAACAGCGTCCGTGCGTTTTGGATGTTAGGAGCTCCTGGTCTGTCACTTTTCTTGGGAGCCCACAAGGGGTGGCTCCGAATGCCACCCCGGACCCTATTCCCCCCGCCTCCCCGCCCCCCATGAGAGCGGAAGCAGCCCCTTCCCGGGCCTCCCCTCCCCCGTCTCTGGAGGGAAGCAAGGCTCTCACCTATTGGACCTGGTCAGGGAGGCCCCAACCCCAGAATCCCTCCTTTCCGGGATGTCCGAGGGCTCTTCGGGTTCATTCAGGGAGTTGCCCGTACTGTCCAGGTCACTGGGCGTGGCTCGGTCGTTGTCCACATCCAGGTGTATCTGTTTGGGAGAGCTCGGGCACGGAGAGACCGAGTCCAGGGCTGAGTCAGAGTCTCCCTCATCCGAAAACTTCTCTGACCACTGGTTGACGATCCTCTGCATCCCCTTCACATGGTAGAGGATGTCATCCAGCTCGGGGAAGATGTCCTCGTTCTCCAGGTCGGCCAGGTCCCCTGAACTGGAATAGAGGATGGAGCCCGGCACGTTGTCATAGACACTCAGGCGGCTGCTCATGGAGCTGGAGGAATTGCGTCTCTTAAGCTCCTTGGGGCTGTCGCTGCTGTTTTCCCTCCTCAGGCTGATGTGGCCGGGGCCGTGGAAGCTTCCAGTCCTCCAGTTCACGGAGCTGTTATTCCCTGAGGGAGAGAAACTGCCATTGGAGAGGGCCTTGGGGAAAGTGCCAGGCTTATGATCTTCCGGGATGTAGAACACGGCGTCCTCCCGGTAGCTCTCGCGGTTCTTGAAGTTCTGTTCCGTAACGCTGTTGAACGTGGACTGACTGAACGGATCAAAGCCCTCCAGGTACATGCCCACCCGCTTGTTGCAGGCGCTGAGGCTCCGGGTCCTGGTGACCGGGCTGGGCGTGCTCACGGCGCTGCTGGTCTCCGACTGGCTACTGCTGCTGCTGGTCTGCGTGGAGTTGGAGACGCTCCGCTTGCGCAAGGCCGGCACGTTGATGTGGTTGCCGTTGAGCGCGGAGATCTCCACGCAGTTCAGCTGCTTCAGCTTCTCCTCGTCCAGCCCCTCCCGCAGAATGGGCCCGCTGATGATCAGCCCCAGCTTGGAAGGCGCCTTGTGCTTGCCGTGGTGCGAGCCCTTGAGCTTCAGGCTCTCCATGCGCTTCAGCAGGCTGCGCGTCTTGGACTTGGCGTTCTTCTCGGGGCCCTTCAGGCTGAAGCCGAAGCCCGACAGTTCCTTGGGAGACGGCAGGCTGCAGAACGAGTCATCGTTGCCTACGAAGTTGCCGGAGGAGCAGACGCTGAGGACCGAGTTGGTCCGGGGCGTCGCCGCGTCCCCGGCGTGGGGCGCGTGCACGGGGAGGCTGCCCGTGCTGCTGAGGCTGAGGACCGAAGCCACCTCCTGGCGCTCGCTGAGCTCCGTCAGCATGCTCTCGTGGCTCGCCGCGTTCTTCAGGTGGGTGTCGTCGGCGGCCCCGGGGGCTGGGTCCTGCTTTGAGGAAAAGACATCAAACTCTTCCAGCCGGGACCACCTCTTGCTGTCCCTCTGGAAAGTCCATTTGCCGCTGATTGCACAAGGCTCGTCCTCGTCCGAATCCTCACTCTGCAAGGACAGAATGGAGGCATTCGTCACTGGGACCGGGCGGACAGCAGGGAGCAGGACGCGAGCCCATGATACGCCATCGGCGTCAATTCCCCCTTTATGTCTCTATTGTGTCATGTATGATTATTTGATTTGATGACGACGATTTTATTACTATTTTTTCCATTACAAAGATGTACACCTCAGGACTTCAACAGGAAGAAGCCTGACCGGGTGTTTCAGGCTAAATAAGAGTTATTTTAGTAGAAACTGTTGGATCTATAGGCTGTTCTTTAATTGCTCACAGAGGAAACCTCTTGAGATCTGTGAAAATTCCAGGCATGCAAAATATTTTGAACTGGAGTCAGCAACGGGTAGGACTCCCTCTGGTCTGCCTCCAGTTTTGCTGCCTGTTGATAGCATGTGTTTATATTCTCTTTTGCCATTAAAAAAGGTAGTTTTCAAATCCTAAGAAGAATGGTAACTGAAATCTGTAGCCACCCTAAAAGTGTACAACATCTCCTAACAGACCAATGGAGACACCAAGCCAGGTAATAAGCCCCCACAATTTTTCAGTCTGATACTTTTCTGCTTCTTACCTGTTCTTTTTCATCCCCTCCCCCACCAGACACGGGGTGGGGAGCTAATGCCACACGTGTCCTGTGAAGTTTCAACCTCAGACATGCTCCAGGCCATTTAACAAGGCTTCACAAATACCCAGTCCTGACAGCGTGGAACATTCAAAAACGTGAAGTAACATCTTTGCTGACCTTGCTTGATTTATGGGCAGGACTCAGGGTTATGCCGCGTCACAAACTACTGCATCTGAACCTTCTAGGCGGGATATCAAAAGGCACCATTCAGTCTGATGCAGGTCTTTCCCACTGGTGTGGAAAATATCACATGACCCACATGTCACAGGACAATGAGTAGAGAGCATTAAAGCTGACTTGGAGACTCCTCTCCACAGCTCAGTGGGTGCTGAGGTTCCAGTTCATTTGTTTAAAAGGTTTAACTCCCCCCAAGAAGGCAGCTTGCTGCAAGTCAGGGACTCTAGGATAATTAAAATTTGTACTCTGAACAGTCAGAAATATGTTCTTCGACCAAACTTATTCCTGTTTACTCTAATTTGTGACAATCACTCCCAGGACTACACCCACCTCTTCTCCTAAGATCTCATAAAAGGTCCTCACATTTCATACACAGAAGTTACATACCACCATTTGACTAGAATGTGTGGGATTTCCTGCCCTTCCCTCCGTCTCCCCCAGCTCTTTTCCTCCCTCCGGTCTCATTATTCATCAGTACCCCACAAGCCAGCCTTCTCTTCCATCCCCGCAGCAGCTCTGAAACACGGTTACTGTTACGTGTGGGGAGAGAGTCCCCAAAGAACTTTAGCTTTAATTTCTGAAGGGAATAATGGAGGATTCACTGGGATTCCCTAAGCCTCATTCCTTTAATCTGTAGTAGGCATTGAGTTAACAAGGCAAAATAATAGATGATTTGTTCCAGTCAAAAACAGTTGGAAAAAAACCTTCATAGATACAGAGAACAGACTGGTGGTTGCCAGAGGCAGGGGTCAAAAGGTACAAACTTCCAGTTATAAAGTAAGTTTTGGGGATGTGATGTACAGCATGGTGACTATAATTCATAATACTGCACTGTGTATTTGAAAATTGCTAAGGAAGATCTTAAAAATTCTCATCACAACAAAAAAAATGTTATAACTGTGTAGTGATGGATGTTAACGAGACTTATTGTGGTGATCACATTGTAATATACATACATATTGAATCACTATGTTGTATACCTGAAACTAGTATTATGTATCACTTTTATCTCAATTAAAAAAAAAATAGTGGGAAAACGTCAATTTATTGGCTAGCTGCAACTACTGGTTTCGGTTACATAAGGCTACTTGATCTTTGGTAAACCTGACTGGACTGTAACATTAAAAATGTAGATTTTTGGAACAAGGAAGTAATAAGAATTTGAGAGACAAAACCTCTTACAAAACACATAATCCAGTTTTTGGTCTGCCTCCTTTCCTCCCTTCCTATTATACATTTTATATACTCACTCTCTTCCGATGAGGACTAATTTCCAGCTTCATCACCGCACACTTGTTTAAAGTATTTAGACGCCTACAGGGCAAAGAAATAGTATTAGCAAAGATAGGAAACCACTGATAGGTAGATACGTATTTTTTTTTCCAAACAGGTGACATGTGTAATGAGTTTCTTTATTCTATAAAAAATTATTCTATAATTTAGAACAGTGTCAGAAACTTCTTTACAAAGTGAATAGTTTAAAAATACCTTGACATTTCTTAAACTTCGTCATTTAGATTGAGTATTACTATTTTATAGTAAAAGGACACATTGCTAGGGTACTATCAGGTGCTTCTTATTCTTCCCAGGACAAACAACTCTCAGTGAGGAAATTTATTCTTCCAAGAGTCCCTAGGTTGATCCATTAGGTAGCTCCTCATAGTGCCAAGAAGTAAGAGCCAGTGATGTCCCCTTTCACAGAAATAGCAACAGCAACAAGGAACCAAGCAGTGTTCTCGGTAAATAAAAATAAATGGTATATTCTATCTCAAAACAAAATTCAAACAGAAAAATAAGCCAGCTTCTAGACATAATAACCTTAGACACTCTGTTCAAAAATTTAGCGAGTTCTTATACAGAATAGAAATTGGAGCCTCTTTAATATCCAGTTCTTTTTACAACTTCCTGTATGGGACAGGATAATGTTTGGAACAGTCATAGCTATAGTGGAAATGATTACTGAAAAATTTCTCATACAGCAGCTTCAAGGGTTACAACAGAGCTCAAGAATCAGCACTTGAAATCAGATTCTTCTTTGGAACAAGAGTGATATTTTTACCTTAAACACTTTTTTACCCCTGCCAAGGAGTAATGTCAATTTATAATTATGGAAATAATTTCGGTTTGTTGAAAATGCAATAAAAAAAAAGAAAACACAGGAAAAAAAAACAACCCCAAAATAAAAGTCCTCATCAGGAAATAATGAAATAGCTGGAAAGAGAAGACCATCCCATACTCAGAAACACACGGTATTGTAGAAGTGTGAATGACAGCCCCCTCTAACAGCTTCTAGATGACCAGCACTTGGTCTTCCTCACATAAACCTTCGGCATATCTGCTGTCTTCCACGCTCAGCTTTCCAGTTTTTCCTACAATTGCAATTCTTCCTTTTTCATAGGATAAGAGCATTTGATTCACACAAATTCAAACTGACCAGGAGACTGCTTCTAGGCTTTATCTTTGGGATTCTGTTCTTGCAACTCGTCTAACAACTTGATGCACAAGGATAGAAAGTATTTTTGCCTGCTGATAAGACTGCCTTTGATTTTATAGATTACGTGGTAGCCTGTTTATAGAATAAACAAAGATAACTCAGAACGCCTATGTTGCCTGTGTTCAGAAAAATTCTGTTGATGGGGAGGGAAAGAAAACAAGTAACTAAGAAAAAGCCCAAACTTTGAAATGAGTGGATATTAGGTCCCTCCCTAAAGGGGCATGCATTACTTAAATGACTTAGATCCACAGTGTTTTGAGTTCTCAAACGTTTTCAAGATTTAAAGAACCCGGAATGGTTACAGTTAGTCTTACGTCTGGGTTTCATTAATCAAACCTGTAATCAAATACCCACTTGACTTCATTTGGGCTTTAATGGTTGAGTGGTGTTTATAACCAGGTTTACTAGGCATGGAAGCCTCTGGCGGCGGGGGAGGGGCTCACTTCACAAATTCTAGATTTGAGTCAAACAAAAAAGACCCTGGAGGCTAGTTTTATAAAGGTCAACATTATCTTTTTTATGTTGGTAGCAGCAAGCTAATGGCAGTTCAATTTTGAAGCCAAGAAGTTATTTCTTGGGGTTTCTGTAAGATTCATTTGTTCCCAGGACCTCCAAAGAATGCCCACTGGTGAGACCTTAGCTACCTGGAGAGGGACCACACTGACACGAAACAGTTAGAGCTAGATGGAAGGGGGCTCGCTCCGGGTCAGGCGCCATGCCCCGCACCACATAGGTGTTATTTCATCTTGCTTCTCACAAGAACCCTATGGCACAGATACTACTGTTTTCCTTTTATAGATGAGGACATGGGGATTTGGAGAGGTGACGAATTGCCACAAGAGTAAAACATGGCGGCTCTGACATTCAAAAACAGTATACCCTGTATTCTTTTCCAAAATCAATCTTAACGACGCTAATACACAGGAGCAGCTTATACCTGAAGTATGATTCCCCAAATGAGTGGCAACTGGTATCCCGCACCATCTGTCCGGAAGGCATGGTCCCTCCAACCCCCCTGGGCCCTCACAGGGCCCAGCTCCACAGGAATGTGGCAGTCTTATCTGCTGGGCAACTTGTACCCTGCTCTGAAGGGGGAGGGAGTACAAGGTGGGCCATCAAAGGCTCCTGAGTTTTGCGGCAGGAAGCTGCAAGCACCCTGATAAAAGCAAAGCAGGGGGGTTTGGGGCCCTTGTATTCAAAATGAAAACAGGGACAAGTACAAGACACATGTGAGAAAAGAAAAGGGAACTATTTTCCAAGTAAGACCTGACAAATAAAAATTGTTCCAATTCTTAAAAGATACTTTCTTGGAATTAGTGCAATTGCTTTAGGGTGGTGGGGTGATAGACACTGGGGAGGGTATGTGCTATGGTGAGTGCTGTGAATTGTGCAAGACTGTTGAATCACAGATTTGTACCTCTGAAACAAATAATGCAATATATGTTAAGAGAAAAAAAAAAGAAGAAGATAGCAGGAGAGGAAGAATGAAGGGGGGGAAATCGGAGGGGAAGACGAACCATGAGAGACGATGGACTCTGAAAAACAAACTGAGGGTTTTAGAGGGGAGGGGGTGGGGGGATGGGTTAACCTGGTGATGGGTATTAAAGAGGGCATGTTCTGCATGGAGCACTGGGTGATATGCACAATGAATCATGGAACACTACATCAAAAACTAATGATGTAATGTATGGTGATTAACATAACAATAAAAAATTTAAAAAATGTACTTCCTTTTAACAGAACAGAAATAGTAACAAAGTTGAAATCCACTATGTGGCAGGCTGCTTGACATTGGTTAGGCATTCAAGGACTGTTTTACAACAAAGTGGAGACTGACGATGATAGCTGGGATATGTACTTATCATGATATGATTATCACCTTATTTACATAATTCTTTGGTGTGTTGATAGGAGGAGTCAGTTGTTAACTCCAAAGGAAAACAGTGATATGGAACATTTTTCAGAAGCTAGAGAGACAAGATCATCTCAGTGATCTATACACCCAGCGTGGGGCTCGAACTCATGACCCCAAGATCAAGAGTTGCATACTCTTCTGACTGAGCCAGCCAGGTGCTCAGAGACAAAGATCACTTCAGAATAGGTGTTCTAATAGTAGGTCGCAGTTTGCATTATTACTGTATATGCTTCAAGGCAAGCAAACCACTCCCCCCTATTAATACTGAATGTGACCCTCTCATGATCTTGGCCTTATCACTGGGGTTCGATTATACAGCAAAACTAACGAGACTGGGACAAAAGCCAATCTCTCAAAGGAAACAAATACAAAAATCCCTTACAAGTGTAAGTGCAAGAATGTTGGTGAGCAATCCAAATCCCAAAAATGCAGTAGTTTCAAACTGTAACTTTTGGTCACTACTAAACTTTGTATTAAGGTACTATTACCATGAGGGGCACCTGGGTGGCTCAGTTGGTTAAGTGTCTGCGTTTGGCTTAGGTCATGATCTTGGGTCCTGGGACTGAACCCCACTTCGGGCTCCTGCTCAGCAGGGAGTCTGCTTCTCCCTCTCCCTTTGCCCCTACCCCCGGCTCGTGTGCTCTCTCTTTCTCTCAAAAAAAAAAACAAAAAAAACTTTAAAATAATATTATCATAATTCTCAAGAAAACATTAAGTCGGGGGCACCTCGGTGGCACAATTGGTTAAGCATCAGACTCTTGGTTTTGGCTCAGGTTGTGATCTCAGGGTCATGAGATTGAGCCCCACATCAGGCTCTGCACTCAACGCCAAGTGTGCTTGAGATTCTCTCTCCCTCTGCCCCTCCTGCTCATGTGCTCTCTAAAATAAATAAATAAATCTTAAAAAAAAGAAAAAGAAAACATTAAGTCTATGGCTTCTGCCCTAAGTAGACTCTGCTAAGAGATCAGCAAATATTATCCGTATAAGAATATTTATAATTGGGGCGCCTGGGTGGCTCAGTCGTTAAGCGTCTGCCTTCAGCTCAGGTCATGATCCCAGGGTCCTGGGATCAAGCCCCGCTTCGGGCTCCCTGCTCCGCGGGAAGCCTGCTTCTCCGTCTCCCACTCCCCCTGCTTGTGTTCCCTCTCTCGCTATCTCTCTCTCTGTCAAATAAATGGGTAAAATCTTAAAAAAAAAAAAAAAAAAAAAAAAAAAGAATATTTATAATAAATTTTTAAGCAGAACACTAATGTGTACATGGGAGCATAAAGTTTAACATTTATGTGTGGGAGGGTGGTAGGAAAGAGAAACCATGTAAGAATTATTTATTTATTTAAAAGATTTTATTTATTTGAGAGAGAGAGAGAGAGAGGATGAGCAGGGAGAGGGGCAGAGGGAGAAGGAAAAGCAGACTCTGCTGAACAGGGAGCCAAACACGGGGCTCGATCCCAGGACCTGGGGATTATGACCTGAGCTGAAGGCAGACGCTTAACTGACTAAGCCACCCAGGGACCCCAAGAATTATTTTATTTAAAACAAACTTTAAAAAGTTTTCTTTAAGGTAAAAATGTTAAAATTAATGTTTAATAATATTTTATGAAGTAAAACTTTTCACCTTTCTGTAACCACTTTACTATATTTAAAATCAACTTCTCAAAATATTTCAACAGGGCAAAAGATGGAAGTCTACAAGACATCTGTCAGTCTGGAGAGAACTGGACAAATCACAAACTTTCAAACCACACCACAGCTTCATGATTTACTGGCCCCCAAATTCCATGGGCTGAGGGACTATGTGGAAGAGGCTAGCGTAGCTAATGAGATGGATATCACATCATCAGTAAAATAGGTTATCCCCCACCACTGTGCTGACAACTGGGAACCTATTGGGCATTTCAAAAGAGGATGCCCCATCATTTTCTTCAGAACATTTGTTTGGTCCTCTCAAAAGGAGAATCATTTGCCTTGGGAAGTCTGTGTGAACATGGATAAGAGCCCTTGGTGTTTCCAGTACAAACAAGTTGATGACCATTACTATGAATTCTGAAGCTTTTTTTTTTTTTTTTAAGGATTTTATTTATTTATTTGACAGAGAGAGAGAGAGAGAGAGCACAAGTAGGCAGAGTGGCAGGCAGAGGGAGAGGGAGAAGCAGGCTTCCCGCGGAGCAGGGAGCCCGATGCGGGGCTCGATCCTAGGATCCTGGGACCATGACCCGAGCCGAAGGCAGACGCTTAACCGACCAAGCCACCCAGGCACCTCTGAAGCATTTCCTTTTTGAAGAGAAAACCCAACTTCAAGATTTTCTCCACATACTCAAATCTGGGCCTCCGTTTTGGGCCTAATAATTTTCAAAGCCCTTTAACACCCATTACCTCATTTCTTCCTCACACTTAGCCTTTGAGACATCATTCTCTGCATCGGAGAAAAAAGAAACCCAACCAGCATACACTGCAGAGTCCAAATACAGATGAAGGTCTAGCTGTTTTCACAAAAGATCCAGAAACACAGATTTATTCCCTTTAAAGGGAGGTGGCTTCTCGAACAGAACGGAGAGCCAGTGGAAATCACAAAGGGCAGAGGATGACCTTCTGCTCAGAGGAGCGCAACACAGTTTCAAACTGATATTAAAAAAAAAAAAGTATTCAAGAATCTAATCATGAGCCCTTTGGGCTGCAATGCTGTGGTGATATTTTTATGACCCAGAAATGCCTAAGCTGTTGCTGCTGTTCAGATGGCCCACTTACTAAGTGGCATAAAATGTGTGAAATGGGCGATCTGACTCAGTGCGTAAATATTTCCTAGGATCCATTTTATGAGTGACCTCATTTATATGCGTTATCACCAATGACGAATTGAAAAATAAATTAATTCTACCCCACAGCTAAGCATTAAAACATTTTAAAAATGTCTGGAGTGGTTTCTATTCCAGATGTTGACTTTTTCCCTCCCAAACTGCATTAGTGACATTTTCTCGTTCCCGATGACATAGCTTTGGTATTACACAGTGCAGTGAGAGACGCGGGATTAGGCTGCTTTCAGAAAATGTGTCCATACTCTGGACAACCCTAAGCAGCCGTTCCATTGGATTTGCGAAGTGACAGTGTTTCTGTGATTAATATGGCATTCTTTTTTTCTTCAACAACGAGAACTAGTCTTTTTCGTACACCATTCTAAAGATCCTACCTGTATTTCCCTAAAATCACTGCTTAAGTTAGTGGATTCAAAAGACACTGCATTCCATAAGAAAGGCAAAAAACTGTACTTTCCCTGAGCTACCTTCTGTGCCTACAAAGCAGTTAATAAATACCGAGTGTCATTCTACCTTAAAGATGTTCTTCCAAGTTAAAATAAGTACTGAATAAAAGAAAATTCATTTCAATTTTACATATAAAATCAATATGTGGATTTTTTCTGTGTATAATTTTTCCCCAGAATTCAGCTTTTATAGCTTGTAGGCTTTGAGGAAAATGACGAAGCATGAATGACTTAAAAATGAGTAACATGTCACGAAGAGTTGGGGAGGATTATCAGTGTCTCATCATTGTCTGCTACATGTTTTATCACTTCTACTTCACTGAAACCCACCAGCTGCCCCTCAGCCGAAAGACCCACCAGCACAACGAACAAGGATTTCTGACAGTTTTATTCACGTCTCACATCAATGCTCATTTACTGCCTGTCCACTGTAGCTTAAAGGCTGTGCTGAGTTCTTTTACAACCTTACTTAATCCTATTGTTACTTTTTTGTACCTGGGGAGGCTGAAGAGATTCAGAGAAGCTTCTTTGGAATTCAAACAATGGTTCTCCTGACTCTAGCATGCCGTAACTCCCCCACCCCCCCTTTATTCCTCTCAATGTGTTATTTTCATTCAATCTAACAGCAGCTTTGACTCTGTTAGAGTATCTGGCTGGGACTGTACACTCCATTACCCTGTTCCAAGTTTCCGGACCATCTGAACGTTCTCTGTTTCAGCAATCATATGGTATCGAATATGGAATGGTCTATTTGAGGACCTTCTAGGGCAGTGCCATTTAAGGGCAATACTAAACAACAAGATGTCACTTATTATAATTAAAAGGCCTATGATTTATAATGAAGTAAATTACCGTAACCATTCACTAATCAAACACCTGACTTAATTAGTAGAACCAAGGTGAGCAAAACCCATTTTGATGATAATACCTCATTAAAACAAAAAAAGAAAAAGAAAACACTCGAAACATTTCCATTTACCTGCATAAAGCCTCAATGGCGTCTCTGTCCAAAAAATCATGCTCTTTCTTGACCAAGGAAATATCAATGGGGAACAGAAGATCTATAAGAAAAATAAAAACATACATTTATTGAACACCTAAATTCTTGCCAATCTAGCCCAGTTTAGCAGAGGGGAAAAAAAAAGTAATTTCTTGAATACCTATTGTGCGCAGGACACCTTACTTCTTTCAAGTGCTATGGGAGAATAAAGCAGTTTAGGACAATTCCATCAGTGTCCTCAAGGAGCTTAGATGTAAAGTGGTCTGTACACTCAAATATCCCTCTTGTCACAGAAGTGGTTCAAAACACGTTCCCCCTTGAAACAAATGAGCAGGCAACAGATCCCTGCTGTAAATTATAGTTTCAGCCAGAATCAACATCAGAAGGATGCTTCCTTTCAATGGGGTGGTTGTTGTTGTTCTGTTGTCTTTCCATGTGTGTCTGCTCACATTTGGTCAGGGGAAGAGGTCATGGAAAACTGAGCCAAGGAAAGGTCTACAGAACAATGGCAAGTGGTAGGAAATGGAATCTAACCATTTGCATGACATCAAAAGCTAAAGAGAATTCAGGATATGCTATTTTTAAACAAATATTAGCACTTCCATATGGCTTTTCAGGAGTTTATATAACTCCCCTCCAAAACAAAAGGCCAGCTACAAAGCTGCTGGAGAACAATGGGATCCCAAATCCCTTAATCTGCAGGAGAGTTCAATACTCTTAGAATACTAGGAGTTATATCAGAACTGAAAAGGAGAAAGGGGGAGAAAGTCAACTCAATAGAAGAATTCCCTTTTTATCCCTTTTTGATAAAATACATTCAAGAAGAGGGGAGGGAGACCCGCAGCACCACTGTGGAAATTTACAACAGCTCTGAAATTGCCACTAGATAAAAACAAGTTACCCTCTTTGGAGTTCCAGCTGTTAGGGTATAACTGGTCTTTCCTGTAGAATGCTTACATAATATGATGAGTAAGAGTTCTTCTGTGCACCTCTGTAGGTCAGGAATGGGCAAAATAAATCAGTACAGCAGGAAACTGGGATTACCATAACCGAACAAAAACAAAGACAAAAATAAAAACAAAACAAAATAAAACAAAGAAACAACCCCATGGCCTCTGAAATGGCTAATGCTTTATACTGGGATAGAAAGGGCTCTTAGGAGATGCAAGTGATTAGTCATGTTCTAGTTCTTGGGTTGACTGTGACGTTTTCATGGTTTCCAACTTCCAGTCACTGGTTTCACAGAATGGAGCTCCTTATTCTTAACAATCTATTTGCTAAAGATAATGGTTAAGAGTACCTTTTTTTTTAATGTTGGAAAGAACATACTGTTACAGTCCAATTCTTTTTTCTGAAGGCATAGAGTTAGATTACCTTTATCGTTCCCTGAACAACGTAGGCAGACCAATGAGGCAGCCTATGATTTACGAAGAAATATGTGAAACTCAGTATTGCAGAAATTTATCTCTTCATTATTTGGCAGACCAACTCTATAGGCTTATAGTGAATGTCAGCTATTAGTAAATACGGCGGACTGTAAAACTGTTTGAAGGTTGTCACATTTTATTTCACTTTGAGCAGACATCAAGAACTTTTAAGTATTAAATAACAGAGCTGACATTAAAGAATATATTTTAATACTTCCAGAGGGTAATGCCAGATCTATAAATGTAAATGAAAAGCTCACGTCTGTTAAGTGTATAGGAAACCATGACTATGTTATTTTAACAATTCTAACTTCATGTACCCAGAACTGTACTTTAGATTCCTTTCTGATCCAAATTAACTTTCAGATTCTGTTAAAACAAACAAACAACACAAAATCTAGGGTAGATAGGGACCAAATATAAGAGAAGTGAAATAATTAAATAAATAAATTTCTCTTATTTGCCTTGACTCTTCTGAAAGGGCCGGCTTTTAAAAGATATGATTTATTGATGAATAGAAGTTCTCAGAGTTCTTTAGGTTAGAATTTAATCTTCCAGCTTTAGTGTAAGGGCAGGAAGTATAAATTGCCAAAGACCAAAATAAAGCAAAACAGGAAGACAAGGAATGTGTGGGTTGGTGTATAGTGTGTGCATACTCACCCTACACAGAGGGGCAGGATGAAGGGCAAAAATTATCACCCAGAACAATATACAGTATATATCCCCCAAACAGGCTTATGCTTCAAAAGACTTGTAAATGAAAGGACCACAAACACATCCCGTGAAAATGCAGTCTGAATTTTAGGATTTACTAAGAAATAAGACAGAGACTGGAAATGAGTCTTAGCAAACATACACTCATAAGAAAGTGCTGCTTGGCAGCAAATCAACACCAAAAATGAACATAATTGAAGGAAATTTAATTTCTAAACAGGAGAACAAAAGAACAGAAGGACAGCCACCTTACTGCCCCTGCAAATGTAATTATCTTTCCCCATCTCCCGTGGAGTGTGAATTGAATGCGATAGAATGGTGGCCCCTCCCCAGCCCTCCCCACCTCCAAGCCCTTCTGAAAGACAGAGATACTGTAAATGTTAATAGGTCAGAAATACCCTCTAACGGAAAGATAAGCAACTCCACCATAATAAGCACACAGGTTAACCAAGTACCTTAAAAAAAAAAAAAAAAGGAAAAAAGAGAGAGAAACAAACAAAAAAAGGAATACTTTTGGAAATACTCTCTATAATGTAGGAATAGTAGATCTTTTACACAGTCCAGCAATAAAATAATTCTGAATCCAACTTCATGGGAAAATATCGCACATTCAGTCTGGGCTACAATGAGGAATTGTTACCTACAATTAGGTAATGAATTAATTTAGCTGAGTGAGATAGGAAAATAAAAATGATCTCAATGGTGTCTCTCTGCCTGATTTGCTTCCAGGGAGTACCCACCCACCCACTCCATATCCCTCCTCAAGGCAACCCGCTGATCCTGTCTAGCACTTCCAAGCTTACAAACTATACCCACTCTTAGCACCGGCTTTTTGCTCATGTGTTAAAGAAGGTTGGCAATGACCAGTAGCTCCACCACAGAGCCCAATGCCACTGTTACAGGAAGAAGAATGTTACTATCCTAGAAGAAGAGAAGAATAAAAGACATGATTTTAAAACTATTTATCGTGAGAAGAGTTGAACATCTTTGGTGAAAGTATTTAAGTGACATCATTTTATACGAATCTTTTAGAAATTTTGTCATGTGGTGGCTATCTCTTAGCATCCCCTTCCTTCTTAAGCGATGAAAGAGATTATTTTTAAAATGTAATCAACCAAAACTATGTTTGTTTTTTGAGATTCTGGAAGTCCCTTAAAGGTCTTATTGGCTGTTGGAATTATGTTTTTATTTTATAAAATATGTAGCATTTACCACAGTGTTGGGCATCCCTGTTGGTGTAGAATTAATAGTGGCTTGTTGGTTAGTTGAATGGATGGGATGGTGGATGATGAATGAATGAATGAATGAGAGACATCTAGTGTCTCTAGTGTTAGGGAAACAGAACGCTCAAGGTAGAAGCAGCTCCAGAAATCATTTAACTTATTCTCAATTTAGGAATCACTTCACTATTCACCCAAACTTTGCTTGCAAATTACCCACAAAAATGGAGTTCACTGGTTCATAACTAGAATTCTTTTTAAATGACATCGTGTAGAGTATGATAAAAATCCCACATAAATGAACAGCTTATTCATCTCGCCATGTGCATGGCATGCTCTACCCACACCAGGCAGCTAGAGGCTCAGGATGAGCCACGCCTGAGGAGCTCTTCACCCCTCAGCCACAGCATCTGAGTGACCCCCAGGGCACTGATGACAAAATGAAGGAGTATAAATTCAGCCTAGATCTTCATTTTTTTTTTTTAAGGTCCATTTTCCTTAGTTAAAAATTTGAATGCCACAGAAAAAATAATATTCATCAAATGACAATCTAAACAAAGGTAAAAAGCCTAATTACAACCCAGGGGAATATATCTGCAACATATGACCCATAAAAGCTTATTATTTAGAATAAAGAGCTCTTAGAAATCATTATGAAAAGTGCAATCAACTCATGAGAAAAATGGGCAACAGACATCTCACAGAAGAGCAAATACATATTGCTAGGTGATATGAAGAAATGAGCATTATCATTCATGATTAGGGAAATGGAAGTCAAAATATATCCATGTGATTGGCAAAAATTAAAGCCTGACAATATCAAGAGAGAGCACATGAACAGACAGGATCCTTATATATTACTGGTAGGGGTGAAAATCTATACAGGCACTTTTGAAAAATCTGCATTATAAAACTGAACATACAAGTGTTCTCTGTTACCCAGTAATTCTGCTCTCGGTATACAGACAAGACAAATTATTGCAGATGTCCCACGAGAGTACAAAACTGTACAAGAATGTTCTTAAGCCTACAGTTTATAAAAGCAAAACAGATAAAGCCAAAATGCCCGCCAATGAGAGTGTGAATGTGAATAAACTGTGGTCTACCCACACAACGGGCTATTACACAGCACTCAAAGCAAGTGATCCAGAGGGAGACATGGTATAGAAGAATCTTAATATATGTGTCAGAAGAAGTGAAGAAAACTAAGTCTTACAAGATTATATAGAGCATAATACCCATTTTATAAGCGTAAAAGCAACTTTATAAAAATATATATATTAGGAAAATGCCATAAAACTATATAAAAGGAAAGCAAGAAAATGACAAACAGAAGTTTCAGAATGAGTTGCTTTGGGTAGGGGGTGGCAGAGGGACCTAATGGGTGCATTATTATCAAGGTCCTAGTTTTTGGTTTTGAGTGGTGGGGGTCTTAGGACTTGCTACATTGCTTTCTTAATGAAATATTTTAGTAAGTAATAAAATGTCTGAAAATAAATCATAGATCAGTAATATCATGAACCAAGGATATGAATATGCCAATTAAAAAACCCCCAGCATTCCCCACTCACCTTCATAAAGCTGTGCATACTGGGGGAAACCAGTTGCCCGTAGCCAATCACAAGCTTCCTTGGCTTCAATTTCTGTAACAGAACCAAAGAAAGAAAGACGTATCAGTCACGTGCACCTCAGCATGCTTTCTTCCTTAACAAACTCTGATTTTGTTAGATAAGCAAAATACGTCTGTTGACAATGGATAAGCAAAATAAATAAATACACATATGCCTATATAAAGTCGACTTAATTCAAATGGTTTAAAACATGGTGCACCATGGGCGCCTGGGTGGCTCAGTTGGTT